CAGTGTTAGTGATGACTGTCAAATGTCGATTCGCCGCCGTTCGCAGCAATTGGGCCTCTGTTACTCCACTACGTGGAAAATTTTGCGACAGGATTTGGGTGTAAGACCTTATAAGATACAGCTGGTGTAAGAATTGAAGCCACACGACCTCCCACAACGTTTCCAATTTGGTGAATGGGCGCTGGCAAAGTTGAAGGAAGATCCACATTTTTATCGAAAAATTGTGTTCAGCGACGAAGCTCATTTCTGGTTGAATGGGTACGTTAAAATTGCCGCATCTGGAGTGAAGACCAGCCAGAAGCATTGCAAGAGCTACCAATGCATCCCGAAAAAATCACTGTTTGGTGTGGATTATGGGCCGGTGGCATCATCGGGCCGTACTTCTTCAAAGACGACAATGGCCGGAACGTAACTGTGAATGGCGAGCGCTACCGTGCGATGATAACAAACTTTTTTTTGCCCAAAATCGAAGATCTGGACTTGGCTGACATGTGGTTTCAACAAGACGGTACCACATGCCACACCGTACACGAAACAATGGCCCTATTGAGAGGCGAGTTCGGTAAACAGTTTATCTCACGTTTGGGGCCCGTCAATTGGCCGCCTAGATCGTGTGATTTAACGCCGTTGGACTATCTCTTGTGGGGCCATGTTAAGGCTTATGTCTACAGGGATAAACCAGCAACGATTGACGCACTGGAAGCCAATATTGAAGCATTTATTCGTGAGATACCGGCCGATATGTTGGAGAGAGTGTGCCAAAATTGGACCTTGCGCATGGGCCATCTAAAGCGGAGCCGCGGCCAACATTTACATGAAATAATCTTTAAACATCAAATTATATCGACCGTTCTATCGACTCAAATAAAGATTTAATCGTTTTTTCAAATTTTTTGTTTTTTTTTGAAAATCAAATCCTATACCTCTTAAAAAATCACCCGTTAGAAGCTTCTTCATCTTAATGTTCAAAATCCAGTATGTTCAGGCGAAATTCAGGCAAAGTGAACACCTCAAGATGTCTATAGCTATCACAAAAATGTTAATTAGGAGGTCGCCTATAGTCGCAATGTAATCGTATAACTGATATTTTTGACAAATCTAAAAGAATTATTCCGATATCTTGAAATTTAAGGAAGTTATGTCGATTTCTGTGTTGGGTGCTGTAACCGCACGTTCAGGTTCGGTGTGTTGTCGCACTACATAAGTTCGGCACTGTAAATGACGATTACATTTTCAGAAAATTAGTCGGTTTCATTAAAGTTGCAGTTTTGTATGTTTTCAAGGTATAGTAGTGTGTTATTGTTACAGGGTGCGCCATCTTTTATGTCGGTATGTAAATATGAACTATCTTTGAAACTGAAAAACGGATTTCTATATATCGGGTACTTTTATTAAATATGGTCCTTTACAATTTATTGGGACTAGTTTTTGAGCACAACATCTATCAAGTGGCCACCTTTATTGGTCAAAAAAAAATGTGCCCGTTTTGCTGCGTTTAGAGTAGATCCTCATTTCAACACAGATGCTCTAGAAAAGTCTGGTGCGGCATTTTTAATGGCCAGCTGTTTATGTACGTATTGCCATAACGTTTAAATTCAAACTCATACTTAGCTTTTCTAAAAAATTACATAGACGATTTGTAAGATGATGTTCCGTTAGCAACGAGATTACGAATGTGGTATCAGCACGACGGTGCCCCACCGCATGTTCGTAGTGACATAGCTGCATGGTTGAATAACCGTTTTAGTCGACGATGGCTTGGCAGAAACGGACCTGTACATTGGCCTGATTTGAATCCCCTGGATTTCTTTTTGTGGGGCATTTTTAAACAACTAGTGTATGCTGAGCAAGTTAATACTGTTGATCAGTTACAAGAAAGAATGGATAATCCGTTTCATCAAATTCAAGCCACAACAAATTTTGAAGAAATACTTTTTTTATTAAAAAGATGCCGCATTTGTATCCGTCAGAATGGTGGTACTTTTTGAACATTTATTGAAATAAAGCTTTGATTCTCTAATTTGTCTTTTTTTTATTTTTATTAAAAGAACGCACTCTAGGAAAAAACACAAGAGTAAATATTTGTAGCAAATTAAAGGTAAAATTCGGAAAATCGTGCGTTTCGAAAAAACAGAGGCGTACTATTTTTATTTGGAAAAATACTGCCACTAATGTACTGTATCTCCGCCACTGGTGCACGTTGATTTTTAGTAAAGACTTTTGAATGTGGATAATCCACATACCAAATTTTTACGTTGACGGTTTTTAATGAAGCCCTTGAGGAAAAAAAATTACATAGGAGACCCCCCTTAAAATGAGGTCCTGTGTATGATGTATGAATTTTTGGTCACGACTTGTCAGTCACTCTGTATATTTTTTCAATTTGAAAATGAAACTCCATCGCCCTGTATCAGGGTCGGGGCCATATTTATAAGAACTTTTGTAATTTTTGGATGTACTTTCTACCCTAGAAATATTAGCACGTCTTCCTGAAACACCCTGTATATAAGAATTGAGATATATAAATACGCCCCACCTCATGCAAAAAGTCAAAAAAAAAGAGGTTTGAGCAATTTTTATCTTTTTCGTTTTTTGCTTTTAGCTTCTCCGCCACTGATCCGATATTGAAAAACTTACACAGGTTTTTGTCCTTAGCATAGTAGTAACCTTGTGGGGATTAGCGGACAGACCAACAGACAGATAGACCAATGGAAATGACATGGTTTTTCGTGATGTACGTGTCATATTTATAACATCCAAAAACATAATATTTCATTTTCGAACTTTATCTACCTTAATAGATAACCAAAGCTTGTTGAGTGAGTAAAACTAAGCTACTTGGCTGAAAGAAAACAGGTAGTTAAGACGGTTAGGGGTGTCTCTTCTAGTACTGTGGTTTCGTTCCGCAGGGTCAGTTCTGGGACCTCTGCTATATGTAATTTACACTATAGACTTAGACTCATGTGTGGAATTTTGTTCTATACAAACGTATGCTGATGACACACAATTATCATTTCACTTCAAACATGCTCAGCTAAATGAAGTGCCGTTTAAAATTAATACTTACCTAATCAATATTACGGATTTTTGTAAGAAGCACTGTCTCAGGATCAATCTTGAAAAGAGTTGTAGTATGCTTTTTTCTCCGAAACACATGTATAATAAGATAAAGGACGGAATAGGCTATTTGACTAATTTTGCAAAATCATTTTAAATTATTCTTTTATATATAATGAGCACACTACATGAATATTTCCTGAAAATCTATACTATTTTTAATAGAAATCAAATTTAAAGTTTGAATTTTTAGAACCGCGCCAAAAACGCTATTCCTGTGATGGCGCCGGCAGATGACGTCTGTGACGTCACACGCCAGTAAACACGATCACGAGCTGTCAGCCGAAGTTAATTTCATTATTGTGCTTGATTTTGCTATAAAATCATAGATAAAATGGTCTATAAATGGTGTGTAGTGCCAAAATGTACGAATACGTGTATAAATAGTCCACAAACATTGTTTGTTTCTGTTTCAACCGATTGTAAAAGACGAAAAAAGTGGTTACTATTAGCTCGGAGAGACCCAAAGGGCATTTCATCGACATCAAATGTATTTATGTGTGAAGATCACTTCGATGTAAGTATAAATTGAATATATTATCTACTAGGTAGCTTAAATTACCGCTTTTTTTAAGATTGAAATAATATATAACTATCTATAACCTCAAATGTATCTTTGGTTATATTGAGGATAAGTCAGTGTTGAGGATCAAAGATCCTGTTTATTAACAATAAACTTATTACTCTGTAGGGTTTCAAAATGTTTTCTGTTGATTTGATTATATTAGCTACCTACATATCTCAATAATTTTCTATGCTGTGTCATTTTACCTACTTTGCTTATTAGATAGTGATAGTTATGTTGAATTGCAGATGGAAAAAGACACCATTAACTACATGCAGTACAAAATGGGTTTCAGCAAGAAGATACTTTTGACAGAAGATGCTGTGCCAACAAAATTTCATTGTCAAGAAGATCGTAAAAGACCACTGTCTGATGCTGGACTTTCTCGAGGAGCATATGTCAAGAGGAAAAGAATGGATTTGGTCAACACATGTTTGCAAAGTCAAAATGCTACTGAAGCCCAAGCTGAAAGCTTACAAAAAGATGAGAGTTTGATACAAGACATTATTGAACCTCAAGGTATGTAATCTATTACATGTGTCCTATCATAAATTATAGTCTAAGAGCTGATAGACATTTTTGTAACCTATTTAAGGCCTTATAAAAACTTGTCTACTACTTCTTCCATTATTTCTGAATAAAAAGGGCAGAACTGAATAAGGTGAGTAACTGTTGTCCCTAGGGGTATTGAGGGTATTTTTCAAAAAAATCATAAAGACATATTTGTAGCACATTGAGATTTTCACAGAATAATATTTATGGTTTAAAATTGATATATTCAAAGTGATAGGTCATTTTAGTGGGACATTTTACTTGCTAGGTGATCAAGAATGCTCAACTTGTACTTCAGGTAATGGGTAATTTTCTCTCAAGCTGTTGATGTTGTGATTCATTACCCCTTATCCAGCACTGCACTTTTTCTTCAGTGATAATGGAAGAAGTAGTAGACAACTTTTCATAGTGCCTTAACGTAATCATTTACATTGAAATTAAGACATTAATTTTGAGTTTCAGGTTTATCAAGAACTCAAGACAGAGAAACTATTACCAACTCTATCATAACTGCAGAAAAATCTGTGCAAGTAACAATAAAAGAGAATGTGCATCATAGGAGCAAATCTGTGCAAACAAGATGCCAGACTATAAGTATTTCTACCTCACCAATGAAAGTTTCTACATCTCGTTCCACTTCACCCTTTAAGATTAAACCATGCAGTCTTCGACCATCACAGTCTGAAATTGTCAAAGCAGTCAAGAGAAATGTTTTTCTTGAAGATGAAAAGTCAGATAGTGATATTTCCTGTATTGAAAGTGGTCGTCATTTATCACCTTTTGTAACTAAATCAGCATCATCATCATCAGGGCTTACCGACTCTGATAGTAATGTTACAGATGCCAATGAGAATATTGAAAAATTAGAGTGCCTCAAAATTACTATGCGTTCAATCTCTAAAAAACCAATGATGTATGTTGGTATTCCAAAAGAATGTTATTTCTTAATCAAATTGTTACATAAACACACAAGCATAAAAGTAGAACACATTTTGCTATGCTTGAAAAAGATTAGAATGAACAGTACATTTTCTGAACTGGATGATAATTTTGGAATATCATTATCTTATGCTAGTAAATTGTTTCTACAAAATATACCAATAATAGCTAGTGTTTTAAGACCATTCATTGTAAAAATAGATAAAAAATTGGTAAAAAAAAATCTTCCTATTTCATTTAGACATAACTATCATAATGTCAGTTGCATCATAGATTGTTTAGAGATTAATATACAAAAACCATCAAAGGCTCTTCATCAGTCATTGACGTGGTCAGAGTACAAAAAGGGGAATACTGTGAAGTATTTAGTATCCTGCACACCTAATGGTTTAGTTAATTATGTTTCGCATGGGTTTGGGGGCAGAACCAGCGATGCCACAATAGTAGAAAATTGTAACTTTCTAGATGGATTACCCCAAGGATCCTGTTGCTTAGCTGACAGAGGCTTCAAACACCTTGAACAAATACTTCTTGAAAAGGGACTAAAACTATTAAGGCCACCCAGTGTAAATGCTGGTGCAAAGCTGTCAAAAACTGAAGTTCGACAAACTAAAATAATAGCTAGTTTGCGGATTCATATTGAAAGGGTAATAAGGCGTTTGAGAGAATTTCATATTTTAAAGCAACATTCAGTGATAAATACTAACATACGTCGTATACTTGATCATGTCATTATAATTGCATGTGCTCTAATAAATTTGCAAGATTCTCTTATTAAATAATGGGTTTTTGCCTGTTATGATACTTTATACTTAATTATTATCATGTAATCTCCTCTTTTGTGACATACCATTTGACCTTTGTGTTTTGTACTTGGCTGAATAAATACTTCTACTACTACTACTATAAATAAAGAAATAAATGATGTAAAACCATGAATAAAATAATAATAAAACAAGAAATATGCACTGCATAGTTTTTTATTTGATAATCACAGACTAGTGCTACGATACAAAATAGGATATATATTTTTTTCCAAAAAATATACAAGTTTTTTATTAAGTTGTTGACATAATCATCTTCGTACTTCACTAGAATAATATCTACATTTTTTGTTTCTTCAAAGTTGCTATCAGCAACACAAAAATAACATTTTTTCATACCAGTTGCATGCATCTGTAATTGAACCTGTGCCTTACATTTCTCTGAAATAATTCCATTTTTTAAATAATTGTTCTTAGCTTTTGCTTTGGTAGGGCATTTTATTTCAACAATGGCATCTTTCAATAAACCATCAGGAGATGCTGCAAGCATGGGATTGTCTTGGCATACATAAAGTCCACATGTTCTGATTTTTTTGTTCAATGTTGTACTAACTGTCTTCCGGACAGATAGCTCCAAACTTCTACCTCTTTTCATTGCAATAGTATCTGGTATTTTTGCGCCCATTATAGTAGCAACCAATGAACCATCAGGTGTATGACATACGCTCACTTCATGTGCCTTTGAAGCTGTGATACGGCCATACCTCATCTCATACCACAAGCTGCTCTTGTATTGCATTCTTGTTGCTTCTTCAATTGCACTGATAGCAGCTCTGTTGAATGTTGTCTTCATTATGTCCTGATATTTTATCAATTCACAGTGTTGAAGTTTTCTTTTTTTGGCTTCCAAAATAAAGTCTGTGTAAAGTGCTGATGTACTTGGTCTGTCCGGTACTTCCTTTTTCGACATCTGCTGCACCGTGATGTACTTCAGAGTAGTCCCTACTCTTGACAATGTTGGCTTTTTCCAATAACATTCCACCGAAGTAGATGGAGGTTCCTCACTGCGCCGATGTACCCACATCAAAAACGCGACTGCATGCTTGCAGCCTCCTGCTGAAGCAGCACAGTCATGGCACTGACAACTTATTATCTCGCTTTCATTTTCGTTGATAACCATTGTCACATTATAAGCTTTTGATCTCACTTTGTGCTCTGGGCACATTTTGCACTTGAGTGTGCAAAGTCCATGCTCCCGGTGCAGCTGCACATAGCCAATTGCATCGTCTCCGTAGGACTCCCTTCCAGACCTGTAAAACAAAAGCAAAACATGAAAGTATGTTTTATTCATGAAACCATATATGAACCATATTATCATATTGAACTGAAAGCTTTTTTCATTATATCAACATAACCTAAAATAAGATTGATTTTACAAATCTTTTAATGATCATACATAAAGGTTAGTAGGTATAAATAAATAATTTCTATTACTACTTACATTGTTGTTTTCACATGTTTGAGTTCCGCAGCATAGTAGTCCGCATTATTTTTGAAGAAAAATGCTACCATTAATGCGTCAACCTTACGTAGATTGCTGTTATCAGCTTGCACAAAATTTAGGTCCATTTTGAAGTCCACAACGAATAATGATGCCAATAGTTGAAAGATTGATCAAGAAAGTAATAAAAATCTGTTTACGAAATAGAATTATGATAGAATATCTCACAGAAAGCCAGCAAAAACGTACAACGCGATGTTTGTTTACTTGCATGTGACGTCACCAGAGTCGCAGCCAATCGCAGGGCGTTTCTGTGACCCACCGAATTTTTAAAAATAGCTGATTTTTATTTGATTATTTCCCAAAAAATATACATATTTAGGCGCACATTAAAGTACTATGTGTTTTCTTATTCTATTATCTAATAGGATCACCACAATTCGCAACTTATTTTCAATACTGTCAAATAGCCTATTGTACTCATTATAAATAACGAGCGCATCCCCATGGTAGAACATTCTAAAAACCTGGGTGTTATCTTGGACTCTAACTTGAAGTTTGATAGACACATCGGTTACCTGTCTCAAAAAACGTATGCCAAATTAAAACTTTTATACTCCAACCGGTTCATTTTAAACCTTAATACTGGGAAAAAATAGTTGAAAACTTGATTCTGTCATCTTTGCAACATTCTTTGATTTTATTCTATTCTTATTTCGATTCGAAGAAATCGATATAGGTTACAAAAAATTCAAGACGGCTGCTGCAGGTTTTGTGTTTGGACTTCGTAAATATAGTCATGTCTCTTCGAAGATTAAAGATTTAAATTTGTTAAAGATGGAATCACAGTTTGTTTATGCTATGAAGGCGTTTGTCCATCAAGTAGTTCGCAGAAAAAAGCCACCGTACATTTTTTAGAAAAGCTAGTAGTCTTTTAAGTTTTGCATATAGAAACATAGTAGGCCGCGCGGATCGAACGTCAGTACTGAATATTAACCTCACTCTTTAGTAAACTTAAACTCAAAGTTTCACAACAATACGTGCAGTGCTCACACTACAGTGAATTTTTAAGTGTCACCAAGTCATTAGAAAAATGGAACTCAACCGAGAACATTTTCGCGCCATAATTTATTACAACTTTCATAGAAAATTATCGCAACAAGAATGCCTTGCTGGGTTACTGTCTGTTTTCGGCAACGAAGCGCCACATCAGTCGACAATTTCCCATTGGTATTGAGAATTCAAACGTGGACGGGTGAGTCTTAGCGACGATCCCAGGGTGGGTGCACCAAAAACGGCAGTCACCCAGGAAAACGTCGACGCTGTGCGCAAACTCATAATTGAAGATAGACATGTGACATATCGCGACATTGAGGCGTCCTTGAAGATCTCAAAGACCTCAATGAAAATAATTTTACATGAAGAATTAGGAGTAAGAAAATTAGTTTCTCGTTGGATACCCCACCTGTTGACTGAAGAGCAGAAAGCAGCCAGGGTTAATTGGTGTCAAAAAACGCTTGAGCGCTTCAATTACGGAAACTCAAAAAATGTGGATTTACTGTTATGAACCAGAAAATAAACGGCAGTCGGCTGTTTGAGTGTTCCAAGGTGAAGAAAAGCGAACAAAAGTCATCCGTTCTCGAAGTGTTTCGAAGAAGATGGTCGCGACATTTGTGTCAAAAGCGGGTCATATTGCAACAATTCTTCTTAATGAGCAAATAACTGTTACTGCGGATTGGTATACCACCATTTGTTTGCCAAAAGTCATCACCGAGCTTCGAAAAATCAACCCCGAAAGAAGAATCATCCTCCACCAAGACAATGCAAGCTCGCACACAGCCCAAAAAACAAGGCAGTATTTAACGGAACAAAACGTGGAATTATTGGACCATCCTCCATATAGTCTCGATCTAAGTCCTAACGATTTCTTTACTTTCCCGAAAATTAAAAACAGACTGCGTGGTCAAAGGTTCCAGTCACCAGAAGAAGCAGTTGACGCATTCAAAAATGCCGTTTTGGATCTGCCAGCAAACGAGTGGAATAAGTGCTTCGAAAATTGGTTCGAGCGCATGCAGGTATGTAATAATCTTCGTGGAGAATACTTCGATAAACAATAAAGTCATTTAAAACTACCTACTGTGTTGTTTTATTTCCATATTCAAAACTTAAAAGACATCTCTCGTACCAAAAGCTAACATTAATCAGAGAAATCTCAGACACAACCTAAATTTTGCGATGCCAGTCCACTACACAGCCCTTTTCCAGACAAGCTTCACATTTCAGGAGACTTGTTAAGAAACAGCTGATGGGATAATCCCAGATATTACTGAAACTTGTTTTCCCAATATTTGCGGATTTCTTAGTTAGAATACAGTAAATTGACTCCATTTCAACAACCAAAACCAGTTTTTGAACTTTTTTATCCCTAACTAACGGTTACGAGGTGTTCTTTAAAAATGACGGTAGTAAAATGACCTGCTGATAGCACAAATTTTATTTCAAGGACACATATTGCAAGACATACAACAAATAACTATTCGGTGTGATTCTGTTCGAAACACGTTTTAGGATGTAGAGGAACACTACATTTTCTGCAGCGAAACTGAACTTTTTTATGGCATTCGCCACAATGTTGCAGGTTCTCTTGATAAACTACAAGGTGATTGAGTCCATCATATCTAGAATAAGTACTCCTACATGATCACTATTTGTAGAAGCACACTGTATAAATGTCGACATATGGCTCAAGCGATACGCATGGGACTAAACTGTAGTAATTCGTGGTAGTTCTAATGTTCTTTGACAGAGCACGGTGGCGATACCTTCTGTCAAATTACCGAAACTCCTTACAGAATCCTTGAATCGCAATGCCTTTATAAAGGACGGTAGTACTATCTGGGTAGTCCAAGTATGCATTTGTTAATTTTTTTTCTGTTTCATATTTATTCTGTTGGCTTGTGTGTGCGTGTTGTCAACACGTTATCTATTCAATTCATTTACGTACATTTCTTTTTCTTCTTATTATTACTATTGTTTGTTTGTGTATCGAGTTTAACTATGTTACTATTTCGTACACAGTGAGGTTAAGTGTAAGAGTAGCCATTTGGATAAAATTCGCCACACTGATGTATGTGTATCAATAAAGACATTTATTATCATTATTATTATTAAAACAACGGTGATACAAAAGTAGTCCAATATGTTCTCTGGTTACATATTATACAATTCGTATTTAACGAGATACAGGAACAATGAAGCTGCAAGTGTCAAATGTAGCGTGTTGGCGTTAAGATACCAGCTCAGTCCGGCATTACATGGCGGATCTGCGTATCCTGCGGTGGAGTTGCAGACGCATATTTCTGTTTTATACCCTCCGGAAAGCGTTTGTTTATAGCATCCGTCGGATATGTGCTTGCCCTCCATGGATTGCACCTTGGCGCACATGTACGTTACATTGTTCGCTGAAACAATACATTGGCTGGTTATTTGGTTGTACAGGGCGAGGCAGGATTGATGGGAGCGCATACAGAAATACATCGATCGACTTGGCGGATAAATAATGAGCGACACACATTACCTTACAAACTTAGTTACTTAATAGCCTACCCGACAGACGTTGTCCTGACTTAGCTATGAACTGGGATAAATAACGAATGATAAAAAAGGTAGATACAGGGTGTTCAAGAAAAATCCTTACTCTTACTTCGTAAGCTTATAAAGACGTGAAATAAAACATTGGGAAATCTGAATCGCGGCTACAGCAACACTGTACTTTCATAACCGTGTGACGAAAGTTTCGAAGCAAACGGTAACAGTGTCGTCAGTATGTGTGTTAAGGCGGTCGTGGTAGGCACAATGGATTTATCTGCAGCAGAATGTACACACAATGTACCCTACTGAGCGAGGGTTCGTACCCTACTGAGCGAGGGCCGTGGCAAATGCTTGTTCCGGAAGTTGTTGTATCCAGTATACAACTTCTTCCCGTCCAAGTGATTGTGCACGCGTTAAGGAATACCTCAGTAACGATTGCCGGGTGGCGGTACAAGTCCGCCAACGGGCCACTTTAGGTCTATTTAACATCACTAACACGTAAAAAGAAGGTGGTAGACAAGGACCAGTCAACCGAGGCAGTACCACCCGCTAGCTTTTCCCAGGGTGTCTTATAAATGTCCGCATGTTTCCACACCTAAGCTATGCAGTCGGTTATCTACCAAAACAAAGAAATTAATGATGATGGATCCCTCGAGCACTAAAAACTCCGGACGTAAACTCACTCCACTCTCGGAATGTCCGGGTGGAGGGTGGGCTCGAGGGAACAACATCGAAGATAAAATTTGTTTTTCGAACATCTGCGGGATCAACAGCAACATTGATGCTGTTCATCACTACCTGCAATCCAATCGTCCCGCCGTGCTTTTCTTGGCGGAGACAAAAATCTCAGAGACTGCACCGATTAACCATCTCAACTTCCCAAACTACGAGGTGCACTCCAACCTGAGGAAGAATGGGGGAGTTGTGGCTTTTGTCCGCAGCAGTCTTTCCTGCTCCAGGGATCTTTCTTTGGAATCAGACCGGAAGGACATTCTGTGGCTTCGCCTCAACTCCAAAACATCACCCAAATTTATTTGCTGCCTTTATCGCTTTCCCTCGAACCATAACTGGGATGACCTACTCGAATACCTCGCGGTCCAGATCGACTTCCTGAACATCAATCACCCCGCTTCAGAGGTAGTTCTTCTCGGTGATTTCAATGCCCATAATGAGCTTTGGTTGGGCTCAAATAAGACCGATGCAGCAGGTCGTGCAGTCGAAGCGTTCGCTCTTACTCAAGGGCTGACCCAGCTGGTCACGAGCCCTATTTTTTTTCCCCGCGTCTCGTCCCACGCCAGTAGAATACTGGATCTCTTTCTGACCACGCATCCTGCCCCTTACAGCACTGCTGTCCTGTCCCCCCTGGGTAACTCAGATCACGGTGTTGTGGAGGTTAGGATTTGGTCAGAAGCCGCTGTGGCAGCAGAAACTCGCACAGGCCGCAAAACTTGGCATTACGGGCATGCCGACTGGGAGGGGCTCAGAGACTTCTTCTCTAGCTTTCCTTGGAGAGATGTCTGTTTCAGTGACGCGGATGCGTCGACTGTCTGTTCTTCAATAACCGAAATTATCCACGTCGGAATGGAGGAATACATCCCTCACACAGTGAAAGTTCCTTGACCAGGGTCCAACGGCTGGTTCAACAAATCGTGCGACGCTGCTCGCCAGCTGAAGATCAAGGCCCACAGAACGTACTTACAAAACCCCACTGTAGAGAACAGACAAGCCGACGTCGAGTCCAGAAACAAATATAACGAAGCGGTTCGCAATGCCAAAAACCAGCATGATATGCAAGTTAGGCACAGGGTAATGTCGCAGCGCAATGGCAGCCGGTCTTTCTGGACGCTGGCCAAGCAGATTGAAAAGAACTTCTCACATAGTAGCCTTCCACCACTTACGTGTCAGGATGGAACTATTGTATTCGACTTAAAGGCCAAGGCGGAAGTGCTAGCCAAGATCTTTGCTGCCAACTCCACCATGGACGTCCCCACCCACGCCCAAGTGCCGTCAATTCAAAGGGTTCCCCACACTATGCGGGAGGTAACATTCGGGCATAAGACCGTAAGACGAGTGCTCTTGTCGCTCGACATCAACAAAGCTTCTGGTCCGGACTTGATTCCTGCCATTGTACTGAAGAGATGTGCAGCGGAGCTTGCTCCAGTTCTTTCGCGTCTCTTCCAGATATCTTATGAATCCGGCACCTTCCCAGAAAACTGGAAATTTGCTCATGTACAGCCCATCCCAAAAAAAGGATCTAAAACCGACCCTTACAACTACAGGCCTATAGCTCTGCTTTCTGTTATAAGTAAAGTGATGGAGAGGTGCATAAATCGCGAGCTTCTTGACTACCTCGAACGTCACAGCCTGATTAGCGACAGGCAGTACGGTTTCCGGCACCAACGATCCACAGGGGACCTCCTAGTTTACGTCACGCAACTGTGGAGTAAACTCATACAGTCTCATGGTGAGGCTCATGTCGTTGCTCTTGACATCACGAAAGCGTTCGATCAGCTGTGGCACGCTGCCCTCTTAAGCAAACTTCCATCCTATGGCCTCCCAGAAAAGCTTTGCAGATGGGTGGCTGACTTTATCTCTGGCCGCAAGATATCCGTCGTAATTGACGGATTCTCCTCTTCATCCCACAACGTCAACGCGGGTGTTCCCCAGGGATCGGTCTTGGCTCCAACACTGTTTCTCTTACCTATCAACGACCTACTTTCCTGCACGATCAACCCAATCCACAGCTTCGCTGATGACAGCACTCTACATGCAGGAATTCAGAGTGACAAGCCGATCTCTGCCGCTGAGCTGGAAAAAAGAAGACTAGCGACGACTTCTTCTCTGATAAGAGACCTGGAGGCTATCACTGCTTGGGGACGCAACAATCTTGTACAGTTCAATGCTTCCAAAACACAGTACTGTACTTTGACGAACAAAAAGCGTCCTAGCGCTCATAGAGTTTCGATGGACGGTCGAGTTCTACCAAAGAGCCATTCATTTCGGCTGGTCGGAGTCCAGATCACCGAGGACCTGATCTGGCACGAACACATCTCTTCAATAGCTGCAGCTGCTGGGAAAAAGCTAGGCTATTTGTTTAGGGCTAAGAACTACTTTTCTCCGCATGACCTTCTCACTCTATACAAGGCCCAGATAAGGCCTAGCCTCGAGTATTGCTCACACATTTGGGGGCTCACACATTTGGGGTGCTGCCGCCCCGACTACATTGTCCATGCTCGATGCTGTCCAGAGGAGGGCGGTCCGACTGATCGATGACTCTTCCCTAACAGACAGTCTCGGGACTCTTTCGCACCGGCGGGCCGTCGGCGATCTAGCTCTTTTCTATCGCTACACCAACGGGCTTTGCTCCTCAGAGCTCTCTTCCATGATGCCGCCGCGCGATGTGCCTGCCAGACAGACCCGCCTGACTTCGGCGTCCCATCCTAACCGTGTCAAACTTCGTACATCCAGAACTGTCCGATACGACCGCTCCTTTGTCCCGAGGGTGTCTAGATTGTGGAACAATCTACGGGAGGAAGCTTTTCCCAGTTCTACTAACCTTAGGCAGTTCAAAAATCGTATCAACAAAATTTCTTTGGGATCATTATAGCAGCCGGGGTGTTCCGGCATTTAGGCTTCTGCCTGCGCGGCTGTTTCGATATAAAAAAAAAGAAGCGAGTTTTATTGTGGTACATTATTTTCGATCGAGTTCGTTCAAAATCGTGCGGGAACGGTTTCAGGAGAAGTTCGGTGATCAACGAAGCTTGCACAACACAACGAAAAAGCGAGTGGTCGGCCGTTTTCAGAATGAACATGCACTGATGAGACGAAAGGGGAGTGGCCGTCAGCGCAGTGTAAAAACGCTATAAAAGATCGAAGTAGTGCGGCAAGCAGTTACAGCTAATCCTCGCCTCTCGGTGCGAGAATCGGCGCCCATGCATGAAATGCCTGTTGGCAGTGTACCTAGTCTTCATGAATTGAAGCTGTATCCCTATCGAATTGAGGTACGACAAGAATTGAAACCTCCAGACTACGCTCGTCGAACACAATTTTGTCGCTGGTTTAATCCCAACCCTACAAGCGCATATTACAGAGGCTATTAACGCAATAACACCAGCAGACTTGCATAAAGTGTTCCGCAATATACAGAGAAGGGTAGGAGCCTGTCTTCGACCGGATGCTGGACACTTCGAGCATATGCTTTAGGTGTTATCTTCTTGTTCGTATCCATATTTTTAAGTATCTTTTTATAATACATTGTGCGAGTTTGTAATCAGAGTATCTATTTTCCTTGAACACCCTGTATATGGAATATAGGTAATTGTATAGAGAAGTCTTTGCACCGCCATGTGGCTAGCAAAATACGTCGGCAGCACTGTCATTCCCGGATCAACTTACCTTGAAAGTAGGCGTGAAATTATGTAGTATGAATTTTGTTACGGCAAATGACGTCATTTGAAAGCAATTATTGTATTACTGGCTATGAGTCAAAAAATGTATAGAATCTGGCGCATTTCTGGAAACCAATGAATGTAGTGGCTCTGGCGGTGGTACCAATGGAGTTAACTTGATTTTTCCACTGACGCAACATAATCCAGGGATTTCATTTTTAAACTTAAATGCCTTGCAATGTGGACTCACAACGTTCATTGCTCCAATAGCAACGATTTTTTGTGAACTGTAATCGATTGCCACGTCATAATTGAATGCAGCTCGATTGGGTTTAAATCCGAGACTTCTATGTTGTTGAATTTCAGTCCTTCGACCCATTCAACTTTATTTCTCGTTTCTCGTCTGTTCGACTTCTTCGTATACAGGGTGTTCCTTAATGATATGCGAATATTCAAGGGTATGAATCTACATGAAAAATTAT